GGGGTGCAGACCCAGTGTGGACAGTTTGTGGGTGAGTTTGTGGGGGACAACTGTGTTGAAGGCGGAGCTATAGTCAGTGAAGAGTATCCTCATGTAGGAGTCTCCATTTTCTAGGTGAGAAAGGGAATAGTTGAGTGCAGCCCCGATGGCGTCTGAGGTGGCCCTGTTGGGCTGGTAGGCATACTGCAGGGGGTCCGGGGTGTCCAATATACTGGTCTGGATGTGGGCCAGCACCACTTTCTCAAAACACTTCATAATGATTAGGGTGAGTGCCACTGGCAGGTAGTCGTTCAGGCAGGTGACCGGGCTCGTCTTGGGAAGGCTGACGACGGTTGTGGTCTTAAAGCAGGTGGGAACGATGCTGTGGCTGAGGGAGAGGTTGAAGATGGTGGTGAGAACATCAGCCAGCTCACTGGCACATGCCCTGAGAGCCCTCCCAGGGATGTTGTCCGGTCCTGCTGCTTTGTGGGGGTTGATCTTCCTCAGGACTGTGCGTACCTGGCCTGGTGAGACAGTTGGGAAACCTCCTGACTTGTATGGTGGGCACAATGTTGTCAATACAGGTACTAATGTACCCGGTCACATACATACATAATCCTGTACGCTGACAGAAAAGTCCTCTGAGGTGGCTGCAGCTTTAAACACATCCCAGTTTGTCTGGGCGAAACAGTCCTGCAGGATGCCTTCAGTCTCTGGGGTACAGAGTTTAATTTGTTTGGTGACAGGGTTTGTTTGTTTCAGCCTTTGTCTGTAAGCTGGATACAGGAACAAAGAAATGTGGTCCGAGCGTCCAAGGTGGGGGCGGGGTGTGGCCCTGTATGCACCCCGTATGTTACTGTAAACATGATCTAGAGTGTTCTTGCCCCAGGTGGGCATGGTCATATGTTGGTAATATTTGGGGAGTACCGTGTTTAAATTGCACTGGTTAAAGTCGCCTGCAGCGATAAATACAGCATCGGGGTGCGCTGTCTCTAGCACGCTGATGACATCATAGAGTTTGCTGAGAGCTGCCAAGGGATTAGCTCTTGAGCTAACATACACAGCAGCTAGAAACACAGCACTATGCTCTCTTGCTAGATAAAAGGGCCGGCATTTTAGCAATAAAAACTTCACGTCTGGCGAACAGTGCTTCTAAACAGTCCGTACATCTCCACACCACGAGTTATTGCTAAACATGCACACACCGCCTCGTTTTACCTTCTCTGAAGCAGCAGTGTGATCTCCTCGATGTACAGAGTGAGTCTCTAGCTGAATTGCGGAATCTCGGACACTGTCAGAAAGCCAAGTCTCGGTGAGAATTAGAGTACAGCATTCTCTGATTTCCTGTTATGTTGTAATCCTAGCCCTTAGCTTGTCCAGTTTGTATTCCAGAGACTGTACATTAGCTAGGAAGAGGCTCTGGGTAGTGGCGGTCGGGTAGCGTGAGCTTTTAGCCTATCATGGAGCCCTCCTCTCTTGCCTCATCTCTGTCTCCGTCTCTAGATCGCTGTCCTGGGGTCAGCCTGCTCACTCTGCCCGGCGCTTTGGGGGCTCCCCAGGGATGATGGTAGTGGTTGTTCGCTCCCACTCCCGCAAAAACAACAATGAATTGTATCTCCGTTGGTATGAAACCAGTAAATTCCCAGTGGCTGTGTGAGTTGGTGATATCCAATAATGATATCCAATAATGCATTTCTGTTGTATGTTAGCAGTGCATGACATTTGTGCACTGCAGAAAGAGTTAAAAAAAAAAAAAACCACAAAAAAGAAGAAAACGAAGAAAAAAGCCGGTATTCGAGAGTGGAACGTGCAAACACGTCTGCCTCAGAGGGCACCATGATATAAGCTAATGTTTGTATTACTCTGAACTGTTTGGCCAGAAAAGTAGACAAAGTAAAAAAAACTTAAAAATTAAGGTAATTACAATTCATACCATTCATCCATCCATTATCTATACCACTTAGTCCCAAACGGGGTTGCTGGAGCCAATCCCAGCTGGCATCAGGCAAGAGGTGGGGTACACCCTGGACAGGACGCCAGTCTATCACAATGCTAACATGCAGACAAAGACAAACAACCACACACACACACACATACACACACACACAAACACTCCTACGGACAATTTAGTCACCAGTCAACCTAAGCCACATGTCTTTGGACTGTGGGAGGAAGCTGGAGCACCCCGAGAGAACCCATGCAAGCATGGGGAGAACATGCACAGAAAGATTGCGAACCTGGAACCTTCTTGCTGTGAGGCAACAGAGGTTGATTGGTTGAGAGGTTGCAGAGGTGATTGTCATATAGTTTTGTGTCTTTGCTTCAGTCAGACAACTTCTCATGACCATTGTAATTTTGTTGTGAAGGCTGAGCGTGCCTGATGCCACAATGGAGACTTCAGTACTAGTGCCATTGCAGCCAGTTTTGAAGTTGGGGAAACATTTCTCCCAGGGAAGTGATTATAAATTGGCAAGGATTTCTGAGCGTGGGATTTCCCAACTCTGTGAGCACTTGCCTCACCAGGAAGGAATCCCCCAGCATGTGCTCTGTCTGCTCTGTGACACGTAGTGGTCACAGATGTGCTCCAACATGCTGTCAACACCTGGATAACAAGCTGCTTTGAATACGGTGTCAAGGAGGTTATTACTTGGTTGTCCTTCATCCTTCATTGCACCGATCCTTTTTTTTTTGTTTGTTTATTCACTGCATGCAGTCATTGGACTTTTGAAAAAAACTTCAGACACTCGGCTGCTTGCCGACTGCATTCTAATCTCTATGATTGAAGGCCTTCAGATTTTTCAATCATTGTACAAACAAACAAAAAAAATCCATCAAATTGAAAATATTTGCTTAACATGTCCTCAGCCATGGAGCAAAAGAAGAAGGTGACCTGGACTGATTAATTCAGTTTTTTTTTACTGTGGTCGGCTTGGTGCATGTGTGTGCATGAGAAGAGATGGTACGAGAAGACAAGTTGGCAGAGTGATGAGATGGTACGAGAAGACAAGTTGGCAGACGCAGAGTGATTATCTGGGCAATGTTCTGCTTGAAAACCTTGGTAAATGGTAATGGTCTTGTATAGCATTTTTCTATGCACTGCAGCGAGCGAGTGTTTTCACACTATTTGCCTATCCAAACTCCCAAGCGCACACACCCTGCTGACATCAACTTGGGGTTTAGTGCCTTGCTCAGGTGCCCTTCGACATGTGGACTAGAGAAGCCAGAATCAAATTACCAGCCTTCGGGTTAGGAGAAAACCTGCTCTACCTCCTGAGCCACAGCCACCCTTGGGTCCAGGTATTCAGTTAATCTGTCTTACTTTGACATGTACCACCCCTTCATGGCAACAATACTCCTTGATGGCCTCTTTCAGCAGGCTGCTGCGCCCTGCCACCTCACCTCCAAAAATAGTTCAGGAATGGTTTGTGGAGCAGGACAAAGGGTTCAAGGTGCTGCCTTGGCCTCCATATTCACCATATCTCAATCTGATCAAGCCTCTGTGGGTTGTGCTGGAAAAACAAATCCAACAACCTCCTACTTTGATGTCAGACACCCGAGGACACCTTCAGAGGTCTTGTGGAGTGCACGCCTCAACAGATCAGAGCTGTTATTAGTATTTAGGTGGGCGGTTTTAATGTTGTGGCTGATTTGTATATGTGCATCCTTTCAAATGATGCTTCCTAACTTTCACTTTTGGAAAATGGATGAACAAGATAAAGAAACACACAAGCTGTACATATTTTATTGCAAATGAATAGTGATATAACATGTTTCAATACATTATATTACAAATATATCTTATGTACATATGCCATGTTTTCGGTCTATTGACATCAACAAACCACAGAATTTATACAGCAAATACAGTGCTTGGTTCATACAAGCAAATTGGTGGATATCTGTTAAGCAAGATTTCAAATTAAGTATGTTAAAAAAGCAGGACTTTGAAGAGTTTACCTCCTCAAATTTAACAGGGTTGATATTTTTTTTGTGAGATATATTAAAAATACAGGCTGTTAATAATGCCTGGTTGTTGTTGTTGTTATTGTTAACAGTTTTGGTTTATGTTGGAAAAGAGTGCCTCATTTTACTGTAATTATTTTACTCTAATTGACAAACCTGTTCAGAATATCAACCCTGGGGTTAATGTTCCTATAAATTCCACATTTGGAGAATGCACTGTATTTAGAATGAAGTTAGGTCACTGGATACATTTCCTGTGTCAACCTCGTTTGTTTACTGCAAAGATACTTTATATACATACTGACTACATATTGTATGTTTCTGATCTTAACTAAATTGTCATTATGTTTGTTTCATGCCAAATTTCTATAGGTTCCTATTGTCTCACTGCCAACTAAGCAGGCTTTTGTTTCATTATAGACGGTGTATATAAAACAGCTCCTGAGCCGATAGAAGACTGAGCATATGTAAAAAGGAAAATGGTACAGGTGGCTGAATACCAGTGCAAAAAAAACAAAAAATAGTTGTCAGTTAGTACCAGTATATCAGCCTGATGTTTTGATATTGCATCATCTTTATCTTTGTCACCTGGTTTGGAACCATTCCAATAAACAACGTTGATCATGTTTACATGGATGTTAGTGCTGTAAAGGTTTTTATTTGTTGAGAGATACAGTGCAGTATGTTCCTTGGCTGCTTAGTGGAAGGTGCTAGGATTTGGACGGATCATCATGACCACTTTCTTTAGTGAATAAGCTCCTCCTCTGAACTCTGCCCAGTAGATTCCATCTTGGTAGCGGCTGCGGTAGTGTCCTCCTCTGTACCACACTCCATTCAAATTTGAGTGGGCACAAGCATTGTACCACCAGCCTCCCTTCTGGTAGTGGGCACAATTACCTAAAAAGGTTTGAAAATAAATAAAACAGTCAGGCTGCATGCTTAAACATCATTGGTTTGAAGGGGCCAATTTGTATTTTCTATTGAGGTTTTTAGTAGAAAAGAAACTAAAGTCTGCACATTGATTAAATGCTCCCACAAAAATCCTTTTTATTAAGGGCAAACCAAAGGATTGTAGTAGCGGTTATGGTTGGAACATTTAATCAGTGTGTGGGCTTTCATTTTTCCCCTACTAATATTGCTCATTGACCCGTGCACCTGATGCTACAGTTGAAAGCAACATTGTAGGTTTAGTCTCAACACTGGCTACCAGCAACCCTTCCCCCCCAACTCCCACACTAAAACAATGAAGATGCACCTGTTTTTACCTTATCTTTCCAACATTACTAATGTCAGCAACCGTAAGATACCATTGTCAGCGCACTGACTGACAGCTCTTTCTCCTCCATGTCTGGGAGCAAATATGACATTTGTACGTAACATGATCTTATGTCTGGGAGCAAATATGACATTTGTATGTAACATGATCTGTATATTTCCCCCTCCCTTTCACTCAGTCAGGCACATTGGGATGATCTAATATGACTTCACTCCAAAGACAATGCGCACAAGTTTCAGATATCGGTAGGGACAGTTCTGTCCTTGCAAAATATCGACAGAGACATGTCCCTACCATCCATATGCAGAAATATGCCCTTGGTAGAAAGCTTTTTTGGGAGGTTTATGCTCTGCCTAAATGCTTCAAATCACTGAAGATTTTACCTGTATATACATCATGGTCTCTGTCCAGTGTTGTGAACTGTTTGCCATTGTGCCAGGTGAGAGAGTCTCCAGCGTTGCCATGGTAACGGCCCACCCTCAGCTTGTAGAAGTCGGCTTCAGGCTCCACTCTAAAACTGGCATATTCTGCAAACACCTTCCTGCCAGACCAGTCCTCCAGCGTGACCAGCAGTTTGTAGTTCCCCTGGTTGGTCAACCAGTAGATGTTCTCCAACCCCAGCCAATACTCACCATCGATATTGCCAAAACCTTGCTGTGAAGTGTAGTGATAAGAAAATCATTATCAATACGATTAGGGGATTTTTTTTGTGAATACTTTGGACAGTTAGTCTGGGAGATGATTCAGTCATCGCTCATGTTCTGGAGGTAGAGTTTAGCTCTTATATGGGGTTGTTTATAGTCAAGAAACATTATTATAAATGGGCCCCCTGAGTCAAGTTTATAGCACGTATCAAATGTTCAGATTTCCACTATTATTTTGTTATTGAAACACAGCAGGATACAGTGGATATAGTATGAAATCCAACATACTGGATGCTGTCTAACTACTTTGTTTTGGCTCTGGTCACACTCTTAAGTTTGTGGTATCCCCTACGGTCTACACGCTTTGAATCATGGAAATACTCCTCATGAGTGTACAAATGCAGTTTGATGTGCTTTAAAGTTTTTGTAAGACTTGGAATTGTCTCTATTGTTGATCTTGGAAATAGCTCTATTGTTGCTAAGATGTAATCAGGACCTTGTGAATTGTTGGCCTGCAAACAGACGTTTTCCAGTGAGCTGAGAGGGGTCTCCCCCTCAGACCGTTCCCTATGTATAGAAACAAAATTTCTGCACAGGTTTTATCAGACACATTCTGATGTGGTATTCAGGAAGTAGGGTTATTTTTCCAGAACATTCGGAATGCTGGCACCATCAACTAATGTCAGATGTAATATGCCCAATATACACACATTTTTATTTTAGTTTGAAGTCTTTCACAAAGACCAGCTGATGTTGGTGGAATTAAAGACACATCAGACTGTGGCAGTGACTGCGGCAGTGACTGCCTATTTGTTACTTGTTCATATCTGTTCAGTATCAAAAGAGCCTACATAAGCCACCCTCTTCCCTCCAAACTGAGGTCCTTGATTTAGTGTGAGGCTGTCGCACCTTGTATGTCTCCCAGTTCCTGAAAAAGTTGACGGAGCCATCCACCCTCCTCTGGATCACTGTCCAGCCACCTGGATCATGTCTCTGGTCACACCACACCTGCATAAGCCGGTTGGCATTCTCCGGCTTCACCAGGTACATGCCGCTGGTAGTGTGGCCATCTTCCAGAACCTGCAGGCAGTCCCTAAATGGGCCTAAACAGAAAGATATCAACATGACCTTGTTAGCATGTGGGATCCAGTCAAGTGCAGCTGTATCATTAGAAAAGGAAAGTGTGAAAAAGCCAAAGTTGTTATATTATACTGTAGGGAATCCCATTTCTCAGTAGAGGTTCTCATTTTAACAGTAGAGTTGACATTGGCTGCTCCTCTCAAGAGGGAAATGGCTGACAGCTGTGCAGCCAAGAGAAACAGTGGCATGAGGGCACATGGAATTCTGACTACTGAATGATGAAACTGAAGCAGTAACCTTTTGTCTGTGATTCCAGGGCAGGATTGTTATTTTACTTACTTTCACTCAGGCTTTCACCTGTATATTATACAGACACATTCCTATTAAGGCCTCACATCATGGTTTAGGAGAGGATTTATGGAACTAAATTAATTTAAGAGCAACTTTAAATGTGTCTTAAGATGCAGTTCTCTGCCAGTAGGAGTGCTGAAGCATTTTTCCCAATAATGCAATAAATCCTCTGAAGTAACAGGATTACTTTCACATCATGTTTTGAAGAAGTTTCATGTTTACAGCTGACAAGTAATGTTAGATAACATAAACCTTAATTAGTCCCATGACAGGGAATTTCACACTGTTACAGCAGCAAAGGGATAGAAACAGGCACTCAGTGCTAAGAATTAAAAAGTAACAGCCAAGGTATTATCAATAGAAATATAAACAAGTGTAGTTATAATAATAAAAAGTAAGACATTGCACACTGGTAGGCTGTGTATCCACTGTTATTCAGTGCGGGGTTGTGTGAGGTCGGCTTTGGGAGGGCGGGTTCTACTGGGAGCAATGCTGGTTGTATAATCTGACAGCAGCAGGAGTTTAATGATAATTATATAGCATCAGCCCTGCATTAATCTGCAGCAATAGAATTCATGCTGCAGATGAATGGGATTTTATGGTGCAAGCTGGGGAAACCCCATTTGTCTTTTGGCCACAACGATTTTACCCCAAATTCCAAACTGGATAGATATGGAAAAACACTAATGGGGCAACTGTCTCCCCTGCTTAAAGATTTTATACTTGTGTGGTTTGCCAACTGACCTGAAATTTTAAGTGTTTAAATACAGTGGAAATGAATGAAAACAGAATAGGGAGTCACACAAAGGGTCAAATTGTAGGTGGAGGGGAGCATCAGCAGTTGGCAAGAGAAATAAAGACAGAGGAGGTGTATGAAAAAGAAGCAGAACGTGTCACGTATTCTGCCTTTGTCATCAGGTCCTGCTTAGCTGACGTAGAACTTTAAGGGAACATATAATGGGATTAGCCAAACATTTCTTCTCTCAAAAACGAGGTTGTTTTTGATCTTATGAAATCGCTCTGGATGATACTGCATCTTGGCCCGGTCTCTGCCATCCACTTAATCTTAGGAATGTCTGCATAGCAGATACAAGACAGAGAGCTGCCCTGCCTTGCCCTGCTCTGTTATGCCTGATAAAGCCTCCTGTTTGGTGGAACATATGACTGGTGCAACTGGAACAAATGACATCACCGACTCACAGTATCTCTTTCTGTTCGCACTTGCCCCCCTCCCCTTTTTTATTACTCATCCCTCAGTCTCAGGTCTTTTTCCTTCCTCTGTTCGTGCACTGTTCCCTCTGTAAGCTCTCTGTTCATGTTAAGAGTTTAAATAACTTTTTGGGATGTTAGTTGCGTGGCAGTGGGCAGGAAATTACTTGCCTCCTTTCATACATTCCATACAAAGGCTACTTTCACATGCAGCCTGTGAAAATGGCTAGTAGTAGGTCAACATGTCACTGGAAAAGCTCCCAGTAATCATGTTGGGAATGGTTAAATTTTTCCCACCATATCAAATTGGCATCCTTGAATAAAAGGGAATGGCAATAGACTATTCACTGCAACTGATACCGCAAAATACTCTTCAATCAATTTTAAAGCTTTATCATTCACTAAAGGGTTCAAAAGACCAACGGGCTTGTGGCCAGTAATCTGTTTATCCACACATTTACACTCCTAATATGCTTTGTATTTTTGTGTGGGTTAAATCATGGCAATTAGATGCTATGCATCTCAAAAGGTGGTAGACAACAGCGTTTCTGTTCTCACTGAGAGGCATTTGTCATGGGAATGTGTGGGACTTATTTAAATTGGCTATGACTGAAAGAATGGGTACTTGGTGTTTTCTTGTGATTACTGGTTAAGAGATTCACAATATAGTTGGCTCAGACAATCAGTCTGTTGTTCGTGACAGCATCTGGTGTGTTTGGTAAGAATTTAAGACTCACCAGAGGGTTTACCGGTAGTGGAGTGGCCTTGTATGCTAGTAGACATGGTTGGGAGTAGAGACTTTTGGTCACTCTGGATCTCATTGCTGATTGGGTTGGTAATTCGTGGGAGGACAGGTGGCTGACGAGGCTTGTCGAGAGGTGGTGATGGTGGAGGTGGCTGAGGGCGCGGTGGGGCAATGGGCACATGACGAGGTGGAGGGCGACTCTGGCACTGCTCCTCCAACAGGGCAATAAGAGCTGATTGGTTATTGGCCAAAGAAGCCAAGTGCTGGTACTTGTGCTCGAGATCTTTGTATCGACTGGTTAGCTGCTGCATCTCTGAGGTTTGGTTCAGGATCCTGTTCTCCATCTGAGCCAACTCTAGGGCATTGTCTCTCTTTCTGATGATCTCATGGAGCAGCTGCATGTACAGCTGAGTGACCCTGGAGTTCATGTTTCGACTCTCCTTCCTCAGAAGCTTGACCTCATTGACAATACCTCCGTCTACCTCTACCAGCTGCTGCAGGGTCTCGATCTGCCTCTTTTGTTTCTGTAGCTCCACATTTAGCAGTTCTAACTCCTGTTTGTTGACCCGATTCTCCAGCATGGCCTCAGGCTCCTTGGAGTTGACACAGATGGCTCCAGTCACTTTTTTCTGTGGTACAATGAAAGTGTAGGAGCACTTGTCCTGCTCCTGCTCAGCTGGAGCACGTTTGCTCCTTCCAGCATAGAGAAACTCTCTCTCTGGACCATCCTCACTACTCTCAAATTGTTGGGTCCTGTCCATGCCATGGATGCTCTCTGATGGACTCCCCTGAGTCTGCAGGACACCACAGGCCAGTCCATAAACAAGAAGGAGCCCCAGCAGGACCACTGAGGGGGGCTCCATGAGTTTGCGTCCAACTCACCAAAGGCTGAGGATAATGGAGTAGACAAGGAGAATCATTATTTTATTGTAGTGAAAAACATTTTATTGTCTGCAAACAGAAGACTTATGTGCATACCTATTTGGAAAGCCTTAAGGAATGGGCAGCATATTTATTTTGACAGGACATCAGTGGAGTCCTTACCAGCTATGTCGAATAAAACCACCACAAGGCTGCCTATAAGAATACATTTTTCCTGTTGTTCTTTACTTGTCAGGATCAGATGAGCACAGGCATCCTCTGCCTTCCCATCTCAACCTAGGCAGGGCTGGAGGTCACTGCAGCTAAATATGGACTAATGAAAAAGATTACATCTGAATGGAAATTGTCCACTTGCCCTGCAGAGCATCCTGGTGGTTGCTGTGACTTTCCATGACAGGGAACGCATTATATTTACCAGTATTAATGGGCATGCGCACACACTGCAGTTTTCCCAATATCTAAGTGTAATTCACTGAATGCATCTGGCTTTAATCTCGGTTTGTTTAAATCCACTTTCCAAATGTGTCAGATGTATGCAATATATGATGTTTGAAAGTTACTAATCTCCTCACTGCTCCTAAGAAAAATGTTTTTGTCCATTGATGTGTGGATCTCTTTAGTTCTCTTTGGGTGGCTGCCACTGCTTGTCCTTAACACTCAGAAATACTCCCTTTTGCAGGCCTGGACATCTTTGCTTATGGAAAACTTGAGGCACTGTGAGTTGATGCTATTCCTGGAACCGTTTTAAATATTGATTGTGTTGCATCAGCTTTGTCCATAAGCGTTACCAAAAGAGGAAAATTTGTTGCATTAAGACATTGAAGGCAATTAATCATAATTTAGGAATCCAGTTTGAACATGTCTGCTTCTCTTTTGACTGCATCAAACATGCTGAGGTATCAATTTATGAATGTTTCATAACATTATCTTTTATTAATTTTGTGACAAATCTGAGATATAAGCATTCCTATTTAGATTACAGTAGAGCATTGGATCCAGTCCAATTTCAGAATCCAAACCATGCCCAATTATGTGTTGTCTGGACTCGACAAGCTAATAATATAATGTTTGAACCCGATTTGCCCCCGCGACCCGGTCCTGGATAAGCGGAAGAAAATGGATGGATGGATGGATGAACCCGATTTAAGTTTTTACTGTTTTTCCCCTTATCATTAACTGCTCCAACCTTCTATCCTGTAGCTTGACCTATGTGACCGAACGCGACCCTAACCTGAACATAACTTCTTACTTTCTTCCCGAACCTGGCCCAAACCCTCGTCCCGCCGGGACTGGACCCAGAACTTCTCTGAAGACATAGATACTTAATAGGGGTAGATGGAAAAAATTGATTCACATAAGAATTGATTCATATCTTCCAAATTTCTGAATTGAATCACAAATCCCAGAAACTAATTTTTGTAATAATGTTGGTAAAACAAAAAAACCTTCAAAGAAGAAAACCATTTGAGCATGTTTTAATAATTCGATGATGAGCTTTGACAGACGAGTGTGGGGGATTGTGTAAATACTTTATACTCCATCACCAACAGACGAAACAAAACTTCACTAAACTCTGGTGGGGCAAAGAAAGGAACTTTGTTTTGCTTTAATGCTGGCTCTCTCCAGATTTGATGCTGTTCTCCAGTGTTGCAGACGTAACATTAACAACATAGCGCTCTGGTTTTTTTTCTGACTAACCTTTACAATACAAACACCAGCTTTGGTTTTGGCCAGAAACATTTAACCAATGATGTTGGACAGTCAGTTATGCTCTAAAATACAAACTAACACCTTGCAGAGTTTATATTTTATATTTCAAATTATGCTTTTTAACTTGAATGAAGAACTTCAAAAATATTGTTTCTTTTCTGTTAATCTAATTATGACCATCAGAACCAGTTGGCAAAATGGCTTTCTCACTTGCATTTCAGTGGCCAATTATTGAACAAAAAAAAAACAGGTTACAAATGGTCAGGAATTGGTGGTTTGACATACAGTGCACTGGAGTAAGAGCCAAAAATATATATATAGCACCCTTTTATTTTTATTGAGTCAAATCATTTTAAATATCGAATCATGACGCAATTAGATTGAATCAAATTGTGAGTTTGGCAAACCAGCTCTGTTCAACTGAATTGAAAGTGTAGATATTTTTATTAGAACAATAAGTGCAGGCAGTTTGTGAAAAGGATGTTTGTGTATTTATTAGAAATCGAGGGGATGGCACAGAGTGCTGAGGAGAATGCAACCCCTGTGTAAGGATAACAAGGTCTTGAACTCTTGGGGCACCTTAATTGAAAGCTGCTGCATATTGGATTACAGAGTGTTCCCCGGAGTCAGGAGGGGCCTGTCTGTTTGGGTTTGAAAAGCAGCAGAAGGCTTACAAATGTACACATTTGCTCCATCTTATCTGTGTGAAAGATAATCTGCCGTACATGTTCAGCACAAAACCGGTAAGAGAGCAGAAATGTTTTTGTCTGTGAAGAGAAATGCAACTCTCTCCAAGAGCATGACCCTCGATCTAGTCGTCCCTTCTGGTTTTATCTGTCTAGAATAGAATGTGTAAACACTTTATATTACTGGAAAAATATCCAGGAATTGGGGCAGGATTTTGTACATTGTGCCCATTTGTAACCAGTTTTTTTTGTTCAATAATTTAGTTTAACTGCTCAGTAAAATATCACCTAGAGTACAGAACATTATAAGGTGTAATTCTCCAATATATTTAGTTAAAATTGTAGAGTCCTCAGCTGAAACATAATTTGCATGTGTAAAAATAACCTCAAAAACAGTATGGTTTGCCATGAAGCATCACCTCAGCAAATACTGATTGATGCAGACTGTAGTATCAGAAATTTTTTTTACACTATGCAAATAAATTCTTATCAATTTTAAGTAAATTATTGTATAGTCTTATAGATCAAGCCTTAGAGAAACTACTAGTAACTTATAAGCCTATACCAAGCTGATACCAGAAACCCAGAACCTGTCCCTTGTAATGTGCTGACTTTTTGGCCTGAGGTTCCTGCAGGTTCTCCCCCTTGAGGAATGCTCTCCCATGTTGGACGTTTTTAGGCCGGAATCACCTGCACTGTAGGTTTCACTGCACTTGAAAGCTGAGGGGAAAATGTCTGCAGCTTGTGATGAAACGTGTGTTTGTGTGCGAGCCTGTGCAGTGCAGTATGTGCATGTCTGAGTGTTTTTCCACAAATGCGTGTTTTCAAATAACAACACTTGCCAGGGAACGGAGAGAGTCCCAGCTGCCCTGACAGAGACAGCCTGTTATTAACCCATCCATGGTCTGCCAGAGGGAACAACAGAAAGCTTCCTCCTCCATTTTTGCTGTTAACAGCCCCCACAGCTCATTTTTATCCTAACATCAGTTCACTTTAACAAGCTGCTGCTGACCGGCCAGTAACTTCAATGATTAAGTAGTGTTGAGATGTGTGTTATACATCTACTCAGCTAAGGGCCTAAAGATGAATGACTGAAGTGCAATGACTAACCGCCCTCATCTTAATTTGATTGCCAGCTCCTCATGAGTCATTTCTTCAAGTCTGCTTCACACCAGATTGTTTTGGTTTTATTGTCTTCAGGTGGTAAGTCTGTGTTTGCATGACTCTTGTCTCTGGATTTTACTGTGTTAAATCAAGTGTGATAGGCCGGCCGTTGGGTTTCTGACCAACACTGCGCTCCAGCTTTTTTTAGTCATGCTCAGCACATATTAATTAGAGGGTGGGCTGCTTCACTCAGACTGGCTGATGCCTCTCACCCCAGCCCCTCTCATTTCAGCGTGAACATGGCATTCCTCACATTCTTTGTCACCTCATTAGAGCAAGCTGCCATACACACATGGAGAGTCGGCGGCCGTGGCCAGACAGAGTGCTAGATGCAGAACCACTACTCACTTTATCCCTGCCGTACCTGCAGTATCAGGCATGTTGAATCTACTGACCCAGTTCATTCCTTGTGTCCTACTTTCTGTGTTGCTTCATAATCACACCATCATCCACAGCAGGAGATCAGCACACAACCACACAGTGGCCTTAATAAAGGCAATGCTTTGCAAGATGACTTTGTGCTGCATGCTCACATTGGTACCAGTTCCTTTGAGAATTGTCAGAATCCCCTGCCTGACACCCAGTAGAGTCATATTCAGTGTTCTCATGGTAATGTGCTTTATTAGTGTACATTACTTTGAGGGTGACCTTATTCTTTTCTCAAGCGTGGAATCCTTGTAACATGACATTTGGAACCATTAACCTTTAGTACCTGCTTAGTTCACAGAGGATGGTTTGAGGAGGAGAACTAAAGTTTCTGTTCACATTCTGTCCTTGCTGCTTGGTGCCTTCTTCCATACCCCACTTGTGATTTACGTCAGAGAGGGAGACAAGGGGGTTCAAGAATTGTTTCTATAAGTTCCAGCTTTCTACCTCAAAGCCCCCTTATCCAAACACTACCCTGGCAACAGAAACAAAGACGGGATTCAATCGCCTGCTTCTCTGTCTTCTTGAGCCCAGGGGAACATCCTGAAGCTGCAGACTGCTTGATATAGTAAGCTTTTTTTTTTTTTTTTTTTTTTTTAAAGGGAATGGCACACGTTGTATATCAAAAAAAGCTTTGGCAGCCGATACAATTCAAAACTCTTCTGAACACCCTCTCCACGGCCCATGTTCTTTTGTTTTACACTTTAATGGTCCTGTGTTTAGACCAGCTGGGTCTTTTCCCAGTAGTGAAGTAGCTCTTAGCCTAGAGAACCCACGCTCCAGCATCTCCCTGTGCTGAACTAACCCCCCTCAACCAAGTCTATTTTGGGTCATCAGATTAGTGATTGTATAGCAGAATTAGCCTTTGGTTCCATACAGTGAGCCAGATAACTGATGCTGACTGACAACTGCTGAATTCTAGACCAGACAGAATCATTATGTGAAATGCAGAAGCTTGAGAGTAAGCAGCCAAAGTCTGACTTCAGTCAGGTTAACAAGATGACAAAGTAATAACTTCAGCATCACATGTGAAATGTCACCGATTGATTTGGAGCTTACGAATGACTTGGGTCATCACTTGCTTTGCAAGATTATTTGTTATGAACATAAATGATTTATCAGTGCAGAAAAATGAGCCAAGTTTTCTACATGTGCACTATTCCTTCAAAAATAAATCCCAAAATAAGATGAATATAATAAATCAGCCAAAGGTTATACAAAGCTTACGAGATAACTGCAACGTGGTGATGAGACTCCCTCAGTTGCCTTGCCCTCCTGCCAGAGCTGATTGAAGTTTCTCCTGGTAGAAAGTCATCCCTGTCTAGTTGCTTTTGTCACCTTAGTCCATTCCAGCAGTGGAGAGAGAGAGAGAGAGAGAGAGAGAGAGAGAGAGAGAGAGAGCTGTTTTAAAGCTTGTTATTTAAAAGCTGTCCTTAGCCCAATAGAAGCTCAGCTGGCCAGAAACTCTTCAGCAAAGACTGAGTATGTAGTTCCTAAATCCACTTGAAAGAGTTGGACCACGTTCAGGAGGCAATTGGTAACTTTAGTTGGATGGTGGAGGTAGTTTCCTGACAAAGTGAGAGGGTCCAGGGCAGGTTGTATATTCTGCCTGCTGCCCGTTAGAAGACTGTCACTTCTCTTTGGGCTGAATCCATCACTTCAGCTTCACAACTCGGAGAGGCTCTCTCTCTCTCTCTCAACTGCACCTCTCTCGCTCCTCCTCCCGTGTGCTCCCCCCACTATCTTCCTTCTTGCTGCTTTTAAATTAATTGGTGAAAAATCCTTTAGCAGTGTTTCAGTAGGCTGAGATCCTCCCCCTCAAACGTAAAATGAGCTGGTAAAATGTTTCAAGAAACTTCCTTTTTTTTCTCCACCCCTCCTCCTCATCGCACAAAAGGGATCCACAAGCATGCACAACACAAGTCACACATGCACACTCCTTAAATTTCCAACCCCCTCCCTAGCCATGGGTTCACCACCACTGTCTGGCCTGGACTGCATGGTTCTTCTGGTGGTGGACAGCAGCAGTGTTGGGTTGATCAGATCCTAATTGAGCTTGAATTAATCTGTATCATGTAAGGACCAGATCCAGGTGTCTGACTTACACCAGATCTGGGTGAGTGATTGCTGAGCCTTGTTTATAGCCTAGAGGTGAGATGTGTGCTGGGCTGGATCTGTAATAGTACTGCGTCTTGCTGAGGGATAATTATGTAATTACTCCAAAAGCAGAGCTGTACTAAACTTGTCTCCATGTGTGTTGGTGGACAAAAGGATGTGAAACATGTCCTGTCAGACTGTGGACAGTCCTGCCAATGATCTATAAATTTCCCAAGCAAAGACTTTGGCTTTGGATACTGTTGCCTCGGCTGTTGTCTGTTGTTGTTGCGCTGTCTTTCTGTTTTCAATAAGAGTAAAGTTTTGCCTAGCCAATGATGTTGTCATTGGGCTTTCTGTTTCTACTAAAGATTTAGTACTTTATACATTTCTTTTCAGTACACATAGAAACTTCAGCATAGCATTTTTCTATGGGCTTAATTACAGAATATGTTTTACATTTCAAGCAACTGTTATGATTTTTTTAAAATCAGTGCTGTTTCAGCTGTTTAAATTAAATAGTCTGGACCACACTTGCTGTAATGGGCAAAATCAGTTGCTGTTAACTGACCTTTAGTTTTGAGCAAATAAAAAAAATAAGCATCATTATCACTAGTCTAATCAAGCTCCAGGTTGTAATACAGTGCAGGTGAGTGACAAAGGGAAAGAAAATCCAACAGATTGTTTTAGTAAGGTGTTGGGTCACCACAGGACATGATGTGTGTGAAGGCACAGCATATGGCTCACATCATTTTCACACTCAAACCATTCAGTGGTGCCTCATGCCGTATAGAAGGAGGCGTTGTTATGCTCATTTATCCAGGGTTTTCCTTTTAATTTGTCACCAGTCCCTACATGCAAAGGACTGTACAGACATTTTCTTCAGTATGTTATTGTAGCTTTATTGGCCAGGTGTGTTGAGCACATGAGGAATTTGACTCCAGTACAGTGGCCCTCAATGTGTATATACAGTGTTCTATAGGCAACGAGTAAACTGTACAGGATGTGTGTTTGGTTTAGGTGTTAAATACTCTGCATTTACATGAGTAGTACCTCTCATGAAGAAATTCAAGCACTCAATGATGAGCAGAGCATGGTGTAGTTAATAGCTCAAATGATCCCTCCACACCCATTCCCTTCCTTTTATTTCTCTACTTTTAATGCAGCTGTTATGGCTCTGCTGCTGGTTGCGTACTGCACAATCAATGTTTTCCATTGTTTCAGTGTAGACTTTCATTTAGGCCAATAGATTTATATGTAGGCCTCAGAGCATGGCTGAAATCCAGGTTCTTGTACAGTGTGCATTGATGTTTTTTTTTTTTTTTAAATCATCAAATAATACAATAAATTAAAAAAAAGTACCCCTGCACTGTTAACCATATGTAGTAAGCCTGGGAAATAAATAGCATTTAATCTTTGCTGTTGTTTGTTGTAACATCTTTGTGGTGTAAGTAAGTGAAAGAAAACTGCAAAGCAATGAAGATGCAGCCAGGTACAGTGAAACATCTTATACTTTAGATGAATGAAATATGTATAATGGAGAGCCTGATCACTGCAATAATCATAGTTCTTGTGTGTATTTTCGTTTTGTATTCCTGTGTGATTTCATTGTTCAGACCATGTGTGGTTCAGTATTTTAAGACAAGCAGCCACCAATTTCACCCACTTTCATCCCTAAGTGACTGGAACTGTCTAAATATTTTCCCTGATGTCACAGTGAGAATGTGCGACTGGCTTTATGAGGGAAAGTTCCCGGTAGTCGTTACTGGACCGGCAAGATGTGGACACATTTATTTTGTAGCATCCAACATTAAGCCAGACTGAATGGCCAGTCTCACATTTGACTGTATAATACCTTGAAGACATTTTTGATCAAGGAAAAAGACAATTCCATTCTCCTGGTTTTATTTGGCTGTTTACCCTTGAAGACATTTTTGATCAAGGAAAAGGAGAATTCCATTCTCCTGGTATTATTTGGCTGTTTATTGTATACTTTCTTCAGCTGCAGCTGACTTTGTGGCTAAGTGGTGAACGGCACTCTTACTCAGCGGCTGGGAAGCTAAACCGCTTTTCAACATTGGAGTGACTCACTGGGTCTCATCCAAAACAGCGGTGTTGCTGCAGTGATTCGTTCTTTTTCCATTTCTAATCCTTAGCAGGTGGAGGAACATCAGATTATAAAAATGTCAGGAACAAAAATGTTACCCTAATATAGAAATGGTAACCAATCAGTTCATTTTAGCTGCTAGCACCACTTGTGAACATTGGAAATGTTTCACAAATGGGTGTGTGTTGGTGAATATTTGTCAGGTAGTTTACCAGTTTGTTGGGAGTAGCAGGAGCAACGCTTCTGTTATGACAACAGTTTGTGACCAGTCAAATAAAAAAGTAGAAGTTAATTTCCTATTAATGGTATTATTTCTGATGCTTTTTGCTGTTATATAATATACAGGCCAAATTATGTTGTGAATGTTGGATTAATACATTTATTCAGCTACATTTGAAGAACAGAAGTGTTTGACTAATTAAACTAAGTTAATGAAGAATCTCTACATGAGAAGCAACTGAAGTCAGTCCACACTGAGATTCCATCCTTTTATTTTAAAATGTTTCCTTTATTTTTGATGATAGATTTGATCCTCCTAAGTGTAAACTATGCCAGTCTTGAAGAAATATGTGGAGAGATGTTCTGCCAATTTTCACACATGATTTCTTTCAGCTGCTGTTTGTTGGATGGTTTATTGCTCTGCAGCTTTAAATTACTCTCTTGGGTTCAAGTCCGGGGACAGTCTTGGCCAGGCCATAGTTTTTTACTTTTTTAAAAACCGAGTGTGCGTCCCCTTTTTTGTAGTGTGTTCGGGATCATTGTCATGTTGGAAAGTTCCCCTCCTGAGCCTGGGAGTCATGGTGTCATTCACTATTTAGGTCTACTAACTCAGTGTTCCTTCTATAAATGTCATCTCCCCTACACCTGTTGCACTCATGCAGCCCCATATCAACCCCACCCCCCCGCTTCCATGTTTTATGGTCAGCACTATGCAGTCACTGGTAGTCCTGGCCAGGCCCTCGCCAAACATGCTGGGCCCCATCTGAACCTAAACTGATTCATTTCGTTTTCATCTGACCAAAGAATGTCCTGGCAGTGTTCATCAGCATTTCTCATGTCTTTGGCAAAGTTTTGTCTTGCAGAACTGTGCCATTTAGTGAGTAATGGCTTCTTATTGGATGCTGTGAGATGACTACATGAGATATCCTTCACACTGTGTAATGATTCATGGAAACACCAATTTTCAAAGGTGATCCTTTTGCAAAGTCAGAAGTGCTTGCTTTTGTTTTTCAATGGAAAGTTGCATAGATAGAGGATTGTGTGTGGCTTCATTTATCGATGATGGCCACTGCACCTTCTCCGTATGCCTCTTCCTTTACCACCTAACCACTGCTGCAGCTGTGTTACCTTTATATTCAGAAGCTACTGATGCTCTTGTACCCTCTCCCATTCTTATGATATCTAGTTTCTTACTTGTTCAGGCAGTTCCTCACCACGTGGAGCCATGTTACATTAGGCACAGCCCAGGCCAACACTGTGGTGTTTACAGGTTCTTTAATAGTCTGAAATCACTGGTGTACTCACTTTTGTTTCATTGAGGTTGAATTTGGGGTCTGTATTTTCAATAGTGTCAATCTAGTCTGTGGGTTTCTGGTGATATGCAAGATTCTACCCTTCACCTCAACTAGGAGATAACACAATTACTATAAGATGGTACAATTTTTGAATCGTTTACCATTTCACTAATATTGGGTCTACTGTGATGTGTATTATTCTGTACTCTAGAAACTTGTAGCAAAGTGCACGGGAATGTCACCAAAAGCTCACACAGAGCTATGAGGAAGTGAAGAATGAGTAGTAAGCCTGCTGCACTTGTATCAGCCACAGCTTTTTAGATCAGCAGAGCATTTAAAAAATTTAAATTCAGTTGTTTCAACTATAAAGAGAAAAGCAGTGTAACCTGCAAACCTGTGATCTGTCCTCATATTAGAGTTGTTCTTTATACCAGCAGTGGTCAAAAAAATACTGCTGTGACCTATTCAAGAAAAAAAATGCTGTCTTGCAAAGAATGCAGATGTTCTATAGAATGACAGATGTTTTAATATCATTCGATGTTTTAGCAACAATGTGCCTCTTTTAAAACTGAGAGGAAACATTTTAGTTTTTCACTTTTTAAGAGACTGGATATATGAAACCTGTATAAAAAAACACCCTCGAATAAAAACAGTTTATATATGTATACTGTATATTTAGTCTGTGTGTTTGTTAAATTCTTCAAAAACTGCAATAGGATACTGGCAGTATCCAATTAGATAATTTTGAAAAAAACAATGTTAGCTCAAAGTTCCTATCAAGTACAGTACACTATAGGTGACAGCTATGGCTAGAAACCAGTCAGTAATCCTGTCCTATGCAGTATGTCAGTAAGCTTGTGGTGATATGATGAACCACATCTTTATTTAGAAAATGCATCACCTAGGCAGAATACAGGACAACAAATGGTGCAAATTCCTAAATAGATTACTCTGAGGCTTGTTTTTGCCGGTTGGGAATCCAG